CATAAAGGAAGAGCAATGAATAACAGAATCATGTAAGAAGTTCTACAATGTTGCCGCTCTCATTGCCAGAGTAGAAGAGCAACCGCTATTGGCGAGACTGACGACCCGCAACCACCGCATTATAGCGCGTGCTGACCCTATCGGATAGAAAAAAAAATCTGATAATTTTAAAGTGTCAATTGTATGTGGGTGTAGACTGGTGGTAATTTTATTTTTTATCCTGATTTTAGCCCGTCTTCTTGAAATCAGCCCTGCTACATGTGACGCTTAACGATGTTTGTAGATCGAAGCACCAGTGATCGCTTCAACTTCGCTAAAATCTATTGCCTTTGTCCTTTCAGATGTTTGGAACCTTTGAAGCGGAACGGAAAGACGATCCACCTATATATGGTCTAGTGCATAACGAAAACACTTTCGATCAGATCTACTTACAGGTAATAAACTTTTCCCACCATAAGCCCTAAAGGCACAACTAAGGCAGAAGTCGTGCGAAAGTTTTCCTTCGGTCTGTAGGATAGACCCTAGAGGACAATCACAGATGTGGCACTCCGTGCACGGAAATCACCGACAAGAGCGCTAGGGCCTTGCAAAGTAAGCTGCAGCAGCTGCAATTTTTCACTGTTGTCTGGGGCCCTCCCGTCTCTCTCGTAGCGCTCTTTCTCATTCGTCTCGTCTCAGACTTCCTCCTGTGCTCAGTCTTCCTTACCACAGCACCCCCCCCCACTACTCAGCTTAGCAAGCCCATAAGCTAAGCGTTTTCGATAGACTCCTTCCTTTTTTAATGTCGTCCCATTTCGCGTCAATACGTCGCATTCGTGTGCAAGAACTACACTAGTTTGATCCTGGGATATGCCTTCGAGTGGATTGAACAGCTATCCACTATATGGGCTATCGAACCTCATCTCGAAAATAAGGTTCATCAGAAATAAGACCCTGGTGAGGGGATACACTGCGGGGTACCCGACAGGAGGCCCGTCGCGCGGCGAGAAGGCAGAGACGCAGGCGGGTCAGCGGACGAGTCGCAGCGCGTATTGTGCGATGTGAGACGTAGTATAGTACATTATATCAACTTGACGCTAAACGACACAGTACGCGCTACGACTCGCCCGCTGACGCATGTGTGTCTCTGCCATCTCGCTGTGCGACGAGCCTCCTGTCGGGTACCCGTATGATGAGATTCCCGCATTACGTTAAATTTTCGGTCCTTGATTGATTTTTCCGGAAATATTGGAATCGGATGCTCTGAACTTGTTCACCTCTCGATTCCTCTGACTTCTTCATTTTAGTAGTCTGTACTGGCTCGAAAGTCAGGAGAACTAGTAATAATAAATGGATGTTTGGCAGGCCTACTCTAGACGTGACGTGGCAATGGCGCAGACCAAAATAAGCTCATTTCGATATCATGTTGTTCAAACTCAATTGTGCTGAAATTGAGTTCAATCTCGCCGGTGTGATTGAATGAACATCAAGTAATAAGAACACAGAGCTTATGTATCGGCGAGGGAGTTCCTATTTCTTAAATTACTGTAACATCCAAAATCCAAAATTCCAGGACAAAAGTTGTCATATTACTTGGTTATTTGAGTCACTGTGCTGTGGGGATATTGTCGTTTACAAAGAAGCATGAAAGATGAAAAGGCGACCACTTTCCCAGGACATCACATAAGAGAAAAGCTATTTTAGCTTCACTTAGGCTTCTTCATTTTGTATCTTTACAACAAAAGAACCGGCCAGTGTTTGAAGTCAATTGAAAGTAACTTAAAGGGACGAGGATTGCACGGAAAGAACGAAGGTCGAAGAAGGGAGAAATCGCCTAGTGGGGAGAGCGGTGAATCTCTTGAGGTGAATCTGAGGGTGCGGACAGACACGCAATCGGCATCGAAAGATTTGACCTCTGAGATCTAGCATGGCTCAAAGTTGGCGAGTTCGGCGATCTCCGCCCACCGATCGTCTGATCACTCGCCGTAGTACAATAGGTGGCGAGTGATTAGATAGCTGAGAGAGCGTAGGGTTGAAGAGGGCAAAGCGATGAGAGTCCCATCAATGCTCAAATCAACGGACAAGGAAGGGGTCCCATTTCTCCGGTTCTGGGCCGTTTTTCGTGGTTTCGCTTTCTTTCTGGTACTACTCACCATCTCTACCTCAATTTGGAATGGGTTGCTTTTCCATCGTAAATTCGTCCTTTAATGGAGCGTTACGAATTTTCGTTCTGGACCAATCATTCACACTTTAAAGGGTGGTTACGAATGTGGGGTTGCTATGCTTTGAAAGGAGTGTGGAGATGCGAAATGGAACGACAGTGGAGAAAAACGAAAGAGACCGTCGACAAGGCCGAAAACGGAACTTCTGTTCCCACTAGCAGTGGGAACAGATAGACGCTGGCTTGGTAGAGAAGCACGTCCAAACGACTTTTCTGGAACCGGGGCGCATGCTGGCTGCTGCTGCGGCGAGTTTGATATGGGCAAATCGACCCCGCTGATTTCAACGTATTATGACCAGCACGCAAAACTTCGGAAGTGGACAAGGCAGAGCGCCACCTGCGGGGCGCACGATAGCGAACAATGCAATCACAGTTGGGCTTTTGGTATGCCCACCGTTGCGAGTCTAAACGTAGCAACGTCTTCAAGGGTGTGTAACCACGCACAGAGATGATGAAATTGGTAGCCTAATATTCAAAGGCCAGGCTCAGGCATGCTACAGAAAGACCGGACGTTTCACGTTCGGTTTTCATCCAGGGCCGCCTGGTCAATCCAGGACCGCCCACCTCCGGAAGTGGTGCGTGGCTGGCATAACGTGTGAAATCAGCTAGGTTGATTGCCGTATCAACCGATAGAACGACTGACATCTCCAGAAAACTTGTTTGTACGTGCCTCTTTCCCAAGCCAGCCCTCCTTCACTGCTAGTGGGAAAGAGGGTTTTGTTAACGGCCTTGTCGACGGTTTTTCTCAGTTTTTTTTCTCCACTGTCGTTCTCTTCGCATCTCTATACTCAGTCAGCTTTTCATCGCATAATCCTCTTTGAGCCCTAATAAACACTTTTGCCTTTAGTAGTCTTTAGTGGTGATATCATCTATTTACCTTATTGCAGGGTAATTCCTCAGATTGTAAGGGCACAAATCGGTGAAAATTCCATGGAGGGGGGGCTTTATTGTGCACTGCAGCTTCTACGACAAGAACCAAGATAAGGACGTTGATAACGCCAAGGAAACAGCTTCGATAACACTTTCATTTGAAGTGGCTTTCTGTTAAGGACCGGCCGAATCATCGGAATGACGCGGAGCAGCGATCTCGTACTGGATATTTTTGATTAGGCCCACGGGAAAGGAGGGAGGGAGGGGGGATAAGCACCATAATAAGTGGATCTCTAAGCACGTGCAAAAAATGAATAGATGACAATAATGTCCTTGTGGCATTGCTTATCATGAACGATCAAGATATCCTTACCATTAGTATTACCTTGATCCTCATCTTTACAGCCTCAGTACAATGGAGGAACGACTCCCTCCAGCCTCCACTCCCTTAACGCCATTCCTTCCCACTAATCTATAGATTTGTTCGGAAAAGGTGTCTGAGGGGATAAAAACACAATTGCACATAGGCAAAGCCCCGCATTGTATTAGACGGAATCGCATTCAAACACCAATACGGTCCTGTACAATGGGTAGCGCATTCCCTTGTTGAGTTATAACGTAACTGCTACCTACATTCTTCCCACCAGATCAAAGCTGCGCTCTACCCGCCTGGATGGTTCCCAGGAGTTCCTGTGCAGCCGTTTTTTCATTGGATGAGCCTTGTCGACACCGCTTATGGAGTTCCAGAGGTAAGTCGGAATTCTTACTTTTCGAAAATTTGAGCTATGTATTTTACTTCAGCCCGAGAAACCCGTAGTGAAGTACAACCCGCCGTTGGAGGTATGGGTAAAACTCTATTTGGTCGGACACTTCACGTTACTTTTGGCGATATTCTTGCATTTCGAATATGACCGAGCATCCATGAGCTATATCGACTTTACGCTGAAGATCGCTTTCTTCCTAGTCACAATGCAGACTTTTGGGGCTTTCTTTGATAGAAGGTAAGTTTTTATGACTCTTCCATAAAAATAACGCTCCTCTTATGCGTTCAGGCCGTATGCACCGTCTTTGGAGATTTCTCGATGTGTAGGAGTGCTGGCCTTTTTCGGTTTCTTAATTCTGGATAAAATCGGCGCCGGACCACATAGAATGTTCTTGATGACAGTTTTCGGCATGTCCGCGCTACTGTGGATTGGATACTGCATTCAAAACGAAGTCGTGA